AGGAAATAAATAATATATTTCTATAAAATAATTATTAACTTTTTTTTCGTTACACATGTATTAAAATAACATCTGTAAATCTCCTTTTTAATTTGAATAAACATCTATCAATACAATCACTATTTTAATGGTTACTTCGAAACACATCTAATAATCAACGTGAATACATATTCAAAGTGAATTAAATGAAAATAAATAGCTAAGAATTGCTAATAAGAGAAGAGACAGGTCTTTGAAATATTATTCATTATGTATTAAGGGAATTTTATATAAATACTTCGCATATTGCCGCATAACACACACTAAATTTAAATGTGCTGCGTTTATGTGTCATGAATGATTGTGTCGTATACGAATTTGTCGAGTTCTGTCTGCTAATTATTCTTTTTAGATTAATTCTCGATTATTCTGTGATCGAGAGAGGACTACCCTGAAGTGCTCTGATAAAAATCGGATCAACTCGAGATTGGACAGATTCTAGGACTCGACCAGCTTTAGTTTTCAGAATAGGAATAATTAAATGGAATTTAATTGAAAAAACATCGAAATATGATTTTCCAAAAGAACCAATAGAAAATGTGTCACATGTGTGGTAGTCCTGTTGGAGAAAATATGTCGTAGTGAGCTCCTCGTGTCGTACTTTAATGTGTCTCAAAACACGACACATGCGACACATTTTAACTTAGAATGCAAGAATTCCTCTTATTATTCGAAAATAGTCAAAAAATAGAATGACATGATCTAAAAATAGCCTATAAATAAATATTTTCAAAAAATGATTGACAGATGCATCATATATGGCAAGAATCTTGCAAATAAAATTGACAACAGAATGTATTTTATATTGGAGAGTAATGTTCATAATATATTTGTACGACTAGTAAAGAACAGAAAAATGAACCAAAGAATCTTCAGCGATTAAACGAAGAGTCAATGTCAAGATAAAAGTCATTCGTCATATGTCTCCTATTGCTGGATTAAAAAGTGCAGAACAAACAGAAGTGAATGAGTGCAATATAGTTTTGTATGTCGTTCTATTTGAACGCTATATAAAATATGATGTTCTTTTTTGATGATAATTGGCATTCTCTCAATAATGTTTCAGAAAAAACTTAAACAAAAATTTGCAAATATCTTTTTAAATAATCCAAATGCAAGAAAAGAATTAGATCATGGTCAATCATTTGCTTTTGGTGGTATGCAAGGATGGAGAATATCAAATGAAGATTTTCATAAACATTTAGTTCCAATTGATAATCATTCATGGAAACTTTGGTCTTATTTTGCTATTTTTGATGGACATAATGGTTTAAGAATTCTTTCTGTTTTTTTTTTATTTAATATTTATTTATTATTTTTTTAGGTATTGATACAGCAAAAAATGCAGCTAATCTTCTTGATAAATATTTAATCGATGCATTAAATCAAACTGAAATTAATTCTAATGAGGAATCTATTTATTTATCTCAAATCAATAAAAATCAATTCAATTACATTATTAAGAAAACATTTTTTCAATTAGATAAAATGTTAGCAAATTTAGTTAATGATCGAAGTGGATCTGTTTGTGTAAATTATCTTTATTAATCAAATTATTTCTTATTTAATTATCTTTTTGTTTGAAATATTTAGATAACATGTTTAATTGGACCAAAATATATTTATTTGATTAATGTTGGTGATTCTCGTGCAATAATTATTTCAAATGATGGACAAGTTTTAGCATATACCAAAGGTTATTAGATTTCTTTATTTTTTTTTTTATTTATTTAAAAATATTTAATTTAATTAAAGATCATAAACCAGATGTTGTACAAGAACAAGAACGAATTCATAGAGCTGGAGGAAGAATAACTCAATATGAAAATGATGTTGCACGTATTGAAGATAAACTTGCTGTTAGTCGAACATTCGGTGATTATTTATTAGATAAACGTTTAATTCCAGCTTTACCTGATACAATTCAATATCCGAAAAATCCATTAGCAGCATTTGTTATTCTTGCTTGTGATGGAATTTGGGATGTTATGACGAATGAACAAGTTGCATTATTTGTTTCTCAAAAAGCATCAAATACATCACTTGAAAATATTGCATCACAATTATTAGATCAATGTTTAAAATTAAAAACTTCGGATAACATGAGTATTTATATTATCAAAGTTTTGTAATTTTTCATTGTATATATATTCGATAAAAATGTTATTCAATTTATATTCTTGAATGTAGTTAGATCTATTGATTCTATGCTAAAGTTCATTAGAAGTTTTTTTCTTTGAATGTATTTAAGAAGAATTTCTTTTGTATATTAATAAATGAATTATTCAACAGGTATTTTAAATACCAAAAAAGAAAAAAATTTTCTAGACATCATTCGCAATATTGATACACATGATGATATGTATATTTTTCTCTCCTTTCATTACGATCAAATTAACGTTTTATATACAAAATCATTTGCATTATTGAAACATTTATCATTTTATTGCTTTTATTAAACTCTAGAACATATCTTTTGCATAATCAGTGTGTCGAACAAATGCATAAGAAAAAGCTGTTAGCACAATCTCTGCGATATTAAAATATGAAACACGATATTCCTATTGCTACTAATTCCCTAAAAACGACTCTTCTTTACATATACTGGACGTATTCCATCAACATTGCTAGATTTACAGAATAGAACTTCATAAAGGAAATACTCCAATTAGATGTTAGTTGTACATAACATCTGATAGTCTCTTGAAGGCAACTATCAGTCGCTCTGACGATCTATGAAGGGTGCCTGTCACGGTCTGTGGGGAGAGGGGTGGGTCCAAATTTCTACCCTATATACTTCAACACTCCTTTTAGATCGTGTTTCACAAAACACGCTTGTTGTTCAGTGTACTTAAGTAGAATTTATTTTGCCTATTGATCAGGTTTATTTAGTCATATCATAATGAGTTTAATGACGCGATAAAATACTTCTCATGGAAAAATCAACATTTTGAATATATAAAGAATTAAATGAAATTCTATTCAGAGATAAAGATACGAATATGTTTAACACAAAGTATTTTAATATATTCGATGAATTCTCTATCGTTCATTTTTATATATTTAATGCAAGAGGGTGCGGGTGTCGGTGTGTTATAACTACCACGAATACATAGTATTTTTGATGTTGCTGAAAATTAAATCGTATCAAGTAGCACAAGTATTAGTATGTAAGATGCGATAAATATAAAAATTTTTGAATCAATACATAATACTATATTCTACTTATGATAAGAATAAGTAGAAGCACCTAATGAAATGGGTGTATTATAGCTAGCACACTACTTTTCATGTTGTCTGTTTAGTGGGTGTGGCGTATCACATTGTTTTCATTTCATGCTAAAAGGTTTCGTAGGGTGAAATGGGTTGGAAGAAAAATTAGAAATCGGAGCTTTCTTTGAAAATGTGATAGGAAAGCAAATGGTTTGGAAGCGTACTTTATTTGGTAATATTTTTGAAAAAAATGTGGAGTACAACAGTGCGAAAGTATTTCAGAATGCGGCATGTGTAAGATAAATTAGTGATGATTGGGTGTGGGTGTAGATGTAATGGTTTTCTTCTCTTCACTCACACCCGCACCCACCTACACCCACCCACCGACACCTTCCTACGCCCACCCACCCACACTCACACACCCATTTTAGACTAGTCATGGCGTCGTTTTCACTTATTTCAATTATTTAGACAGGTTGAATCATGATTTCTATCGTGCTTCTTATCAGACTATATATTATTTATATAGTTGATTCATGCAATGACCTTTATCAGAGGAAAATAAAATAAAACAACTGTTATATTGAACAAGAAAGATAAACAATCTAACTTCATTGCTATTCTTCATTTATTTTATAAGAATCATTAATGTGTAATTTTATTACATATACTACAACTATCTGTAAGTGAAGAAAAAGAAAACACAATGAATTTAGAATTATTATCTAATGAAATTCTATTTTATCTATTCAGTTATTTTGATTGTGTTAGTCTTTTTCATACATTTTATGGTCTCAACTTTCGCTTTAATTGTCTTCTTTACAAGCAGTTTCGATTCTATTCTTTCAAATTTTATTCTATATCAAAACATAATTTCGATATGATATGTCAACAACATTTACTATTCATTGCTGGTCAAGTTTATGCTCTTCATTTTTCTGACTTTGAAAATACTCCAAAACAAACTAATTTATTTTTTTCTTACATACCATCATTCAATCAATTTACTAACCTACTAATACTTTCACTGCCCTATATGCGTTCATATCAAACACTAATAAAAGTTATCAATGAATTCCAATATCTTTATAATCTCACTGATTTAACTTTCCGCTGTTATTCTTTGTAAAAATATCAAGTTGATTATCAATCAATTATTGATAATATTTCGAGTTTACCAAAGTTTCATTTGTAAAGATGAAAGATTATAGACTTAAATGGAATCAGATGAATCTATTGTGTGAATATACTCCTCGTTTTAAACGGCTTTCGATATCTATGAACACTCTCTCGACGATGATGATCATATGCCATCTTCTCTTTCAACACTTATTGATTTGCATATTAGTATTTATCATATACTTGACGCTTCAACAATGATTATCTTTTTCAAAAACATATCTAATCTACGTTGTTTGAATATCATATTATGGCCTAAATTAATAAATGGTTATCAATGGAAGCAAATCATTCGTAATTATTTGCCTACATTTGAAGTATTTCGATTCAATATGAATGAAACATTTTATTTCGATGAAAATATACAAGAAAAAGTTGATCAATTAATTGATTCGTTTCGAAGTTTATTTTGGATTGAAGAACATCAATGATTTGTTCGATGTCTTACAATAAAGACAACTATTTATCTCTATACATTTTCTACATCATGTGATAATATTGTAGAAAATTTTCCTGACTTATGGAAATCAACATATCGACACGATAACCAACAAAAGTTTTGCGACAGTATGACGACCATCTGTTATGACAAATTTTTTGATCAAACAATTCCGTTCGATATTTATTTACCTAATATTAAGTATCTTTGTATAAAATTTCCTATTAATGATAAATTTTGGTCTATTGTTTCAAGTTTGAATCGATTGGATATACTTGATGTATCATTCCATGCTAATACTGTTCAATCTGAATTGCAAACCTTACTAAATCTAGTACCTTACCTACTGTTTTTAAAAATCAGTCAAGATAAATCATTGCCACTTCAAATGTCATTATTCAAATATACATGTATATCAGTTTGTCTACTCAATTGACGAAAATATAATCATTGGTTTAATAAAGAAGAATGTATGAAAATTGTGTCATTCACCATTGGGTATTCAGTGTCAAGTACTTTGGATTAATGTGAAAAATCGTGAAAATATTATTATTCTTGTCAAAAATATGATCAATCTTCGTGCATTTCACATCGAATGTGAAGATAACAAGTTTAATAAATTATCATCATTAACAGTGAATGATAATGATGAACGTTATGATGACAATGTAGACAACAAAAATGAACTTGTTCAATGGTTAAAAGATCATTTACCATCAACATGTTTCGTGGTCACTGATCCAGATTCTATTCACAATATTTCAATATGGATTTAAAAATAAACATATCGATAAATCAAGAATTGATGTCATTTAGATTGATTTATTTGGAAATAATCATTTTTTTAATGTTAAACATGTTTGTGACTTATAAAAATAACAATTGATCGAAAACTTGATATTAAATTTTGTTTCAAATGCAATACAGTTTTTGTACTGATTATATGTGTAAAAGCTACATCAAAATTGTCATCACAAGAATTTATGAGATTGTAAATATTATATTATATTCAAGTTTTTCTTTTCAGCATTTTTCTTCGATTAATTTAATGGAAAAAAAACAAAACTAATAGACAGACTACTCTATCTTTATTTGAAATTCAGAACATATTCTCAATGATCATTCTAAGATTTTCTTTTCATTACCTGATTGAGTCTCATGTAATGCACAACTTTTTTTTTTTATAAATTCTTGAATCGAGTTCGAGCATATACTGAACCAAAGATTCTATAGTTACGTTCTGTTTGTCGAATAATTATGGACATAAACTTTCTCTATATAGATCTCCAGATAATTTGACCAAATCAAATAATGAGCGGATAAACTTCGTCATTCGACTTGAAATAGTCTCTAATAAATATGATTTACCTTTCCTATATCTATGTTTACTATTTTCAATGGAAAACACCCTATATTATATGTTAGTTCAGGAAAAATTTCAATAGAAAATCAAGACATGTATTGATAAGATGTTATAGAAGTCATTAAAGGGGTCAGACGGATCGGTAAATATAAATTAAACAGCGCATGTAGAAGTAGATCTTGATCAATGTTGCCAAACGTACAAACGAAAAGTCTAAAAACGATTTCGAATCAATTCTCAACAATTAAAGTAATGTTTTTGCTTGGTTCGATTCTCAACAACGTTTTTCTGTATCTTCACAAATAACTCGTCGCATGAATATAATCTAACAACAAATTGTGTTTATCTTTGTTGACTAAAAGAGTTTGTTTAAAAATTCAATTTGAAAAGCACAGCTTAGTAGCTATAATTATTATTATACATGTTTTTAACGACTATATCTCAATTTCTGACTTCAGATTACTTTACTGTAATGAATCATGACATGAAGTAGAGAGAATTCAGCTCTTTTTCTTCCTTATAATCGATGTTGATACTTCAAAAAAAAACGGTTAGACCGGAAATGTTCTAAAAAATAGTTCCGGTATCAATGATACTATCGACTGAATTCAATTAAACTGTTTTTAAATGTATAAAATGATAATTTATGAATTTTAATCAATAGAATTTCCAGATCAATTTTATTACTTGTCATCTTTTCAGTACATTTCTTCATATGTCAGCAATAAACAACTGATTCATGAATTAAAATAAAGATAGATGTTATTTCTGCTCATAAAATAGAACTTTTAATCGTTCAAATGATTCCAATGATTGAAATTATTTTTTGTGAACTAACAAAAATTATTACAAAAATCTAAATCAAAACTTAAGATCTACTGTTGAAGCTGAACTTAATCAATTGTTTATTTGACAAAAAATATGCAACTGTCGCTAAATTATATCAATAGGAAAGCTGTCAACAACGAAGTATTCGAGCACTATTACAGTGAAAAAAAAGAAAATCAACAGAAATATATAAATAACTCCAAGAATAACAACATACTAAATAGAATTTTTCATGTAACTCAACACTCGGTATTCTGACGAGAGAATTTCGATTAGATTAAATAAATTTCAATAGTTCTGACTTTGATAAGAAAGAGCACCCACATCCCTTCCAGCACAAGCTAATGACAAGTGCTCACGAATTTCTATTTCAATTCTATTAAATTTTATTGGTGGGATGTGGATGGATAGAAAACTCACACCGACATTCATAGCTCACTTACACCCACCTTTTCTAAAATGAAAGCTTTTCGTGTTTTGACGATCGCCATTTTATATCACTGATGTTTCGAAAGGGTCCATTCATCACTTTCCAGATCTCTTTGTCATTGTTCAAGAAAGGCGTCAAATCAAACCAAATATTCATATGGTTCTATTTTACAGAAAATCAAAAACAAGAAATTGAATATGTGTATTGTGCCGGAATCTGAATAGTATACAATCTAGGAGGATGGAATGATTACGTTACGTTAGTCCTTGCGCAAGATAGATCACTTCTTGACTATGTATATGACTACTGGAAAAAGTTTATTAAACATCTAAACGAGTTCCCAGAGGGAAGTGAATATAGAGAAACTTGGAAGACATATATGATTATCAAAGCGACTGACAGAAGCTTCTACAAGTCCATGGGACTGAGAAAGAATAACTTTCTTATGAATCGTTTGGCACAGAAGACACATCATATGAACTTAGATTACGTATTGATATGTAAATTTAAAAACATCATTATTCTAAACAGCGTTCTCGATTATAGTATCTTATTTTACTTCCATGTTCATTTATTTTATTGTTCTTGTACACTGCAGCGTTTCTTTTATTTTATTTATTTATTTTTCGTCATGGTGAATATGCGTCATAGAAGGTGTGAGAAACGGAACGAAATTTCCTTTCTATATAGAATTTGATAATTGGTAATTCTTATGGGATCAATAGAACCGTTATATTAAAAAAATCGAATCAAATATTCTGTATTTTTTATATAGACTTTTTTCGAAAGTAGAAAAAGAAGTTTGAATTCGATGTTGCCTTTGTGTCGTTGTGTTGGAAAGCATATTACGTTAAGTCAATAAACAAAGGGAAATAAGAAATTTCGATGTGGGTGTGGGTCAAGGAGAAGTTAACGGATTCCCACGATTTCGAATCCTATGTGGATCCCTGAAGTGTCATCGAAATCCCGTGAAAATACCACGATTACATAGTGTAGATATATGAAAAATACTGTATATATGACTGCTTCTCGTGCAAGGTGATGAGAAAAAGTTTAATTTTTTAGGACTTTATAGTATATCGAGTGCAGTACCCAATATTCAAGGACCGTCTTGATTCGACACATTATAGCTCTAAACAGAAGGGTTTTCCAAACCAGTTAAAAGTGATCCACCAGGGGTAAAGAGTTACAATTAATGATTAATAGATCCAATAGTACTTAATATTAATGAACTAAGTAACACATAGAAAACTAAATAGTTAATACTAAGTGTTAAGTGAAGCCATTTAATTAATGTTTTTAATGAAGTGTCATTAAATAACATGGTCCACTTCTATTTAAACTTTTTTTTAAATTTTAAAATCATCTACCACAGTCTTTAGTAATTGAGAAATCAGTAATAATTCAACAAATCAAATTGTCATGTAGATATAGATGTCGATCTTCCTGTCGCCAACATAAAAACTGACACATTTCGCACCCATATGTTATATATGATGTAACTTTTATATTTTTTTCATGCACAGAACTATTGATTATGATATATGAATAAAATATGTTACTAATCTTGAGGAGTCTTTATTGCACATAAATTTTGAACACTACTTTTTACAAACCTTGGTTTAGAAAAAAACAGTAGACAGCAAAGATCGAGGGATTCTGTCGGATACCAGAGATATGGCACTGAAATCTACTAAAAGAGAAAAGCCGATCCTCGAATGTAGACGGAGTTTCATAAACTGAAATATATATCAATTGATTCCAATGAATTATCAATCTTATTTGTCGAATTTCATCAGGATTTGCAATAGCCTTCTTGGCAAAACCAGTAAAATTTATGTGAACGATAGAAAAAAGTCAAATCAGCTGGCCAAATAGAAAACTCAAATGATTCAAAGTAATAGTGATGAAAGTCTTTTAACTAGACGACTGTTCCCATCGTATGTCGTACGAATTCTTGGTTCACAGATAAGTATTTCGAATGTTAATCGTAATATCGAACCCGATCGTTCTGGTTACGAGTCTGTTTTACAAATCTGAGTCTACATTTTTTCTTCGTATTTTTTTCTTATATCGATTTAATGTTTCCTTCTTTATTATATATTACATTATATAAGTACTATATTATAAAAAAATCATGAAGTTCATAATGAATATATTAGTAATAGATTTCCAATTGATTTTCAATTCCCCTTTCTCGGCAAAAATCGACAAGATTTGCATCATTCGTTTTGATTTGAACACATAATTTATTCTTGCTTTCATTTAGTGATCAATGGATGGATTCAAGACAAACACATAAATAGCTCGCTCGTTCGAATATCAATTAAATTTGATATTGACGTTCAGTCAGTGATCGTATTAGTTAAAATTTTTCAAATCTACAATCAAATATAAGTGTAGAATATCTCTTTAATAAATCTAATTTTCTTCAATTTCGATAAAGAATTGACTCCTTTTTTCACCCTTACGATAAAGCACAAAAAATAAAAGATGTTTGTCATCTGCTATTTTTAGTACGTGTTGAGTCACTTGAATACATCATCCGATTCATCTACTGTTTTCCCTTCTAGATTTCGCCAATCTTTGAATTCATTTACTGCAATTATCCAGACGATAATATTACAGATAAAATTTGCATCAATAGATTTCACTCTGTCCTACAGAATCAATTTTTTAAATTTTCATCATCGATATTATCACTATTCAACATTCCAATTCCGCATTGATCTCTTTGATAGAAATCACTTTTTCGATTGACTATAGGTAAGTACGAGATAGTCGGATTATTACGATTGATATTCTTTTCATCGATATGAGCAAGATCAAGCTCGATTAATTTCAACCGAACCTGACAGCCATCGATTGCATCCAGATGATGACTTAAGAGTGAGTGTACTCATCTTATCCACAACAGTTCACACTCTGTTTGGGTCAGCTAAGATTTCAGATAGTCGATTCGGTTTCGTCGCTCGTTCTGCTTGCTACAAATTCACCAACACAAACTCCAAGAACGTGACATGTAATTGCGCTACATCATTGTGAAGCACACGTAAATATAGGTGGCATATTATTCCTGACAAGAGAAGGCTATGCCTCAGTCACGATGACTTCGCTTTGCTAATCAATGGACGATTCACTCGCCAGAAACGAGTTGCGATATTTCGCGTGTAGGTTCGATTCTTATCGCAGCACCGTCAAATCAAACGTGCAATCCTTCCGTCTTATTTTTTACACAGTCGGGACTGGACAATATGTTGGTAAAAATTACAAAACCAACATCGAGAACCTCACTCTCACCACTTTTAAAATCAAGTATTATTGAATCAGGATCATATATATTAATATCACTGTTTAGTGACATACATGAATAAGAATTGCTCATTAAATGTTTCATTAATTCATCACAATGCAGTTGTGTAATAGCTATTGGGTCATCATCATCATCTTCTAATGATTGTTGATATTTTATTTGATGAAACATTTGTAAAACAAATGCTAACGTTTTTCCAGTGCTTGTTTTAGCCATACTGATTAAATCTCATTCAGAAAATATGATCAATAATGCTTATATATATGATTGTTTTTCATATTTATATTTTTTTAAACATTTTAAAATTGTATTGGATGTTATACACTGTGACCAAGTTTTTAGAAACCGTGAACATCGTTTACCAATTAATTTAATACTATTGAAGTGTTGTCGATAAGTATCAGCATCGAGATCTTCCATGTGTGTTATTTCAGATACAACTGTATAAAAATCTTTACGAAATGGTCGATAATATGTTTTATCATGATTGTTTATGATAATATCTGCTTTCGATTTTTTACGATTCACAATACATATATATCATTAAGATCTTTATTCAGTTTCGTTCTATCGTCTTTGGATGAATATTCTAAACCATCAATATCTTGTTCCATAATAGAACTTTTTGTTTTTTAACACGTGATAGAACTGATGAAGATTGATCATTTGTATCTATGGATTTAGTTTCAACTATTGAAAAATCATTATGATGATTATCAGTAGCTGATTCTGCACCATTGTTCGATTCATTCGTTGAATGTAGTATTTGATTTACTTGATTCATTTTTAACTCAATAAACGATACTTGTATATTATATGGAATCGATGGGAAGAGATAAATATGTTGTTTATAACTTAAATTAATAGAATTTGTGCACTGGTACGGGTGTGGGTGTGATTATGAATGGAGAGAAGACACTCACACAGACATACCCACACCAAAATCGATATTATTTCTATTTTGAACGTTTTTCATTGAATTAGCTTTGATCTTCAAAAGAACTATCAATAATGTTGAAGAAGTATAAAATAAAAAATGTATATTTTATTTTCGTTTTCAATGATGATAATTTCAAATGAATAATTAGAAATTGAAAATAATCTAATATAAGTGAATGGTTATGTTGAAGATAACCTATTGAATTTAGTATGATAAGATAATGATTCAACATGTTTTAATTAGAAAAATATGAGGATTAGTTAAAAATAAATTCTAAAGTTTTCTCGACAAAATATTGATATTTTTATAAAAAAGTAAAATAAAGTGTATTTATTGTGAAAAGTAAATATTTTTCTTTTAAGGATGAAATAGTCGATTAAATGAAAAAAATAAATAATTTCTTTTTAAATTGACATGTCAAATAATTCGTAATTCCAAAAGAAAAGATCGTTTTTAAATTCGAACTTTGAAGCATTGCCATCCTTAAATAATTTAATAAAAATGAAAATTTGAGCTCAAACTGAGAATTCTGATAAAGTTAAGCATTATCAAAGAAAAAATTAATCAGATATTAGGTGAATATTTCTGGTGAAAAAGTATATTTAGGCAATATTTTCTAGATTAATAACAGACCGAAGTTTATTGACCGACCAAAGTCGTCTATAAAAAATGCATCGTCAAATTCGCTTACTTAAAGAATTCCCGATAGGTACTTTCGTCTAATAAAATTTGTGGATTTTCTGTCGGTGGCATGTCGGTTAATTTATATTATCGAAATGGACGAAAGATTCTGAATAAATGAAGCAAAGAAGACAATCTTTTTTCTTTTTCAAAACAACGTCAATCATTATAATTCTTCTTTTCCATAAAATGAATAATGAAAATGTTACCTCCATTTTTCTGTCGTCGAATTATTCTGGCCCATATGATCATAAACTGTTGATAAATGAAGAGGTTTTTAAACTTACGCATCAACAAGAAGTATCATTTATGATCCAACTCTCTTTGCATTGAAGTATCGAGTTCTTCCTTACACAGTAAATCAAAATATCCATTGTGCTTCCAGCGACTATTATAATACTTCCACATTCAATTCGCTTGGTCAGTTCTAGCTTTCATGTACGTGAGGACAACAATGGTCTTCAAAAAGAAAACAAGAAGGAATGTATTATACCACAAGGTTAGTCACTTAATTTTGATCTATTTTCAACGAAAATAATTGAAATTTTGTTTGTCAAACAATGTTCTACACTTTATCATCAATGAATATAAAATTGATCCAACTGCGTAATATAAATAATTATACAAGAAAACACTAAAGAAAATCACTGATAATTATTTATCAATCAAAATACAAAAATGAATCTATTTTGATCATCCAAGAAATAACAATAAGCATAAATGGAGTGACAAACAAACAAATTCTTTTGCATACATGTTAACAAAATTTGTAAAAAAAATCGAACAAACTAGATAATTCCAATCTCAACTAGATTCCAAACTCAACTGCAACATATATATTAAACATTGGAATAGATCTCTTCTATCGCTGAAATTCCTTGTTGGATCAACATATCGCTATATAGTCAAGTAAGAAAATAATTAAAATCAGAAGAAAAGTAAGAGAATCAGGAAGTTTGATATAAAAGAAAAACAAAGATAATTTACACTGATAAATTAAATAACTATTGATAGTCATTTGCAAATTTCTAGAAGAAAAGTCCAGTAAAATGTCATACGATTAGAAAAATGTGATCATGGTATCTCTCCTTTCAATTTCTTTATCATTTTTTGAAACCTCCCAAATCTAAGCCAATTGGTATCTTTTTTATATCAAACAATGTTTGCTTTTGTCAAATCACTTGATAGATCTTTATATTTATTTTTGAATATTAAAAAGAAATATGATGAGCAAAACAATAAAAAATATTACAACCAATGTTTATACTTAAAAAATGAAAGCATGAGTATTACCAACATACCCATGCAACCAAGTACAATAAAATAACCATTTTTATAACGAAGTTCAGGCATATTTTCAAAGTTCTAAAAAAAAAACAAATTTGATTGAAGTCAAAAAAAGAAAAGCAACAATAAATTAATTTACCATGCCATAAACTCCAACAATAAATGTTAATGGAATAAAAATGCTTGTTACAATTGTTAATGTTTTAACTATTTCATTCATATGATTTGAATTTAAGATCATATAAAAATCAATAAATGATGATAACATTTCTCTATATGTATCAATAGAATCATTAGCTTGTACAATATGATCAAATAAATCTTTTAAATAAATATTTGTACTTTCTTGCATTATTTGTGTTTCTTCTTCTTTTTGTAATTTAATAATTATTTCTTTGAATGGAGATATTATTGAACGTAAAGAAAGAATATCACGTTTTAAATCATATATAGATTCTAATGTATCACGTTTAAGTGTTTTCATCAATTGATTATCAATTGATGCAACTGATGTATCCATCATATGAAGAACATCCATATAATGATCACCAATAACATCAAGAAGCGAATAAAAGAGATAATCAATTTTAGATTTTCTTATACGACCTTTTCCTTGTCGAATACGATCTTGAAAAAGATACAAACAAGAAGTAATTATAAATGAATTCATAAGTGGAGAAAACTGAGAACGGAAGCAAATAGAAACCTGTAGTTTTCATCATTGGAAAGAGCGATGTCACGTATGTCGATCAGGTGTGCATTGATATTTTGTTCTTTGTGAATTTTCATCATTTTTCCGACGAACTTCAACAAAAATTTTATCTAAATAGAGCCCAAAACACCATATATTCCTAGTGAAATTTCCATGATTTTTTACTAACTTCTCAACATTTATCTTCGATGAAGTTACCGCGATAAATTTAATCATAAATACATGGTGTCTTGGGTTCTATTTTGATAAAATTATTCTTGAAATTCGTCGGAAAAATGATGAAAATTCACAAAGAACAAAATATCAATGCACACCTGATCGACATCCGTAACATTGCTCTTTCCAATGGTGAAAACCACAGGTCTCTATCTGCTTCCGTTGTAGAGTTTTCTTCATTCATTTAGATAGGTGATCAGAAACATCTACTTTTTTACCCTTTAATTGATTAAATCAGAATATTTACTTCAAAAAGAAAATATTACATCTGAATCAAGTTTGAATAAAAGGAAGGACGATTTGAGGATACTAAATTTATGATCTAAGCTTAGTGAAATTTTGCAAACCAAACCTTTCTACTCAACTATTCAAGAAAATAAATTAATGAATGTAAAAAAAAACAGTTTTTTGACAAAAATGAGCTGAATTTATTAAAATATTCATACTTTTTATTGAATCAAATAAATCTTTGGATGTTTCTTGAAATGTTATAAGAATACCATGTTTCAAATAAAAACTCATTTGTTGAATAATTATTTGACCTGTACCATCCATATCATAATATATTAATTTGCATACAAGAAATAAAGCATCATCCAATACATCTAATTTTGTTCGTTGTTCAGTTGTTGTTATATCTGTTTGAACTAATGAATGAATATCATAACGTTCACCTATTCCAGATATAACATCTGGATCATGAATACCATCGATGTCAATCCCTGAGAAAAAAAAACACATGTTTATTTTTTCTGATATATGCATATAAATACATACATGTCATTGAGTTTACTGTTTCCGATGGTGTCTGTAGAAATTCTTCAATAGTTTTATATTTTATTTCCGTACACAAATTTTCATCATACTTAATAACATTCAAATGAACTGGTTCTCTAAAAATGTAAATGATCAACAATAGTTAAGTCAGTTTTCGATCTAGGATTTTTGAAGGGAAGGTGCAACTGTAGGCAAAAAGTGTGATTTCAGATAGTACCAACTGATTTTTTCGCTCGTTTTTTCTGCAAAAATATCAACAAACTTTTCATGAAGGAGTAGGAGCGTCGGAGCGATCGCATCCCCGCTCCTGAATAAAATCTAGTCGATGAGAATTATTAACAATAGTTCAGGAAAAACGACTAGTTTAACTTCTGATTCTCCGTTGAGCTTACTATAACAGTGATATTCATTTAAAACTTACGTTGGATCAGAAAGATGTAAAAATTTCTGAGATAAAAAAGCACCAAATCCAAATTGTGTTACACGTCCACGAATTGTTGCTCTTCTACCAATTAGCATATAATTTTCTCTTTCAATGCGTGACTTTATACGTCTTACTGGTAAAATTTTGTTTCTACGTTGTGTAGAACTGTTTATCATAAT